TGTTCTTGTTTCTCAGTGGCGTCATCTATGGCCAAGATTTCGACTTCATGATTTATAAATAGGTAATAGAAATAACTGAGCATTTTTCTGCCAGTTTCTTTTGTAATAAAGTTGCTATATGTACAAAAATCTGTAAAAAAAAATGTTTTTTTAATTAATAAATCTTTTTGCATATTGAAACGTATGAATAGTTTTATTAAAATCACACACATACATTGTAGACAGAATAGCTGTGTTGTTGTTGTGTCCAATCCTTCAGGATATAGCTACAGCTAGATCAGATCCATGAGGCCATTTGCCCTAGCAAAGTCCAGCACCAGAAGTGGACTTGCATGTGCATCTTCCTGAGCTAACCCCAAACAATCGAGGATATGTTCAGGGGAAGCCGGTAACAGATAACACTTCGTGCAAGTCTGATAGACCTTTTGTCCGGACACAAAAGTCCTGCATTTCAGGTGCCCACTTATAAGTTTCGAGACAGCCGTTTGATGTTTTCTGTCTCCCTTGAACTCCAGAGCACCCCCCTGGGCATTTCATACTAATCCCGGGATGGGAGGGTGGGGCTAGTCAGACTTGTTTAATCAAAGTGAAAATCTCTTGATCGGTAAGAGCATAATCAGTGGTCGTCAACACAGAGCAGCCTCTTTTTGCTAAGTTATCTGCGACTTCATTTCCAGGGACGTTAACATGGGAGGGGATCCATTGAAAGTGAACATCCCTATGTTTTGCTATAATTTTAAGCTTATTGATAATTTGAATGCTCACAAGGTCATCCACACGACTCCAATCCTGCAAGTGTTGAATGGAGCTTCGGCTATCAGTAAGCATCCATATATCGCTAGAGTCTGTACTATGGAGAATGGCCTTTAATACTTCGTCTATAGCAATTAATTCACTTCGGAGGACAGAACAGTTATCCGGGTTGTGTCTTGAAAGCCGGACAGAGAGATTCTCGATAAAGATACTCGCTCCCTGTGTGATTCAACTCATCCTTATTGCCACACTTACGTTATCACTCGGAATACCATTTATGACTTCGAGAGCCAGCTGTCTCAAGTATTCAGAGGCATCTGAGTTTTTGTTTGAGTGGGACAGAAATTAAGCGTGGAAGTGAACTCCAAGTAAACCCTCAATTGAGTTGACACAAAGTCTTAGAGATGAATACTCCACTGATTGTGAAATAATCTTCATTTTATCAGCCAGACCAAATGGGCTATTCCTTTTTAATCTCTGGTTGTTTCTCCATTTACACAGGTATTCTGAGGTTCGATTCTGATTTTCGTAACTTCTTACTTTGTTTAAGTATTTAACCGTGTTCGAGTTTCTAACTAGACCAAGAGGTGGAACAGCTGTTGTTGATTTAATACTCATAGACCAGATTCTAATGAGTTGGTTGGTGAAATTATCAGAGGCAGTGGGAGAAGAACTGACCCAATTGTTTTTATCAGTAAAATAAACCAATAAAATTTCAATTATTTTTATGTCTATCCGGTTTTTTATCGACCGTTTTAAATTTTGAAAAATATCAGCATAAAGCAAACTGCTTTATTGTGTGTACATTAACACCTGTCTTCGCATTGGTTACCGTAAATGAGATTTTCTTTATTTGTCCAATTGTTGAGACACTGAAGGGAATCAATTATTAACTATATCCACCTTCATTTATCGAAAGGTACCTCCACATGGATTCAAGTTAACATGCCTTATATACTAGTGATTTGGTGTTTAATATTTGTAGTGGTAGTTACGCCACATTACTCCCCTTCCAGAATTTTATCTGTGATAAAATTCGATGAACGGATACCACTAGTTGATTTATGTTGCTTTTTTATTCTCTTTTATCTATTTATATCATTTTTCTCATTATATTTTTTTCCCTTCATTTTTTGTTCATAGTATTTTGCTCAGCATTTGCTAGCCTTATGGCATTTTGCAGGCATGTGTGTAATCACAGGCCTGCGAAGAAAAAAATACAAGGAGCTGAACTTTATGTATTTTTTGGTGCTGAAATGAAGAAAAAAATAATGAAAAATTTCTATCACGTCACACTTTTTTTTTTTTTTTTGAAAAATTTAATTTTACAATTTTACTGGAATTTTTATGAACATTTACCATAAAAACATTTTTAGTTTTTTAATTTCTTCTCTTCTTTCCTGACCAAATTACTATGGTTAATTCTGCAAAAGTACCCCTCTATGCATCTTCCTGTCACCGTCCCTCTCTCAGTCAACATTATGTCTCTACCAATAGCGACGAGAGAATTCTTATCTTGGTTTGCTGACCTCTCAGGAACACTAGCAAGCGTAATTGAGAGTCCTTTTTTCGGAAGCATTTTTAACGCCTGCCTTTCTCTGCGCTTTTCGTGAAACATGGCGGCAACATAATGTTGTTAAAAATCGCATGACGAACATTACAAATTATGTAAGCAACTTTATCTTGCGTAGATTGCCATGAAACTCGGAGACCAGGACAAATCGTGGGCTCCTCATAAAGTTTGTATTCAGTGCCTCAATAATCTACGGTTATGACTCCGAGGAAAGAAGACTACTTTACGATTTGGAATCCCTATGACATGGGGGGGGGGCTTAAAAATCTATTTGTTGATTGTTATTTTTATTCCTGCCATGTTCTTGGTTAAATCTAGATAATTGTAAGGTTTCTTTTCGCAACGCCTTGTATGCTCAGCTGAAATCCGTATTGTCTTGAAATTTTTATGGACAATGCTTTTTGATCTTATCGCTAGTGTGAAGTCAGCTAAAACGTCATGATGGATCTAAGTGACCATTTTACCTGAGTGACAATGTTACAATACTTTTTAAAAAAGCTTTAAAAAATAATTTTTAATCCTTTTAGGTTGTTGTTGTAGTTCATTTACGTCGCACTGGAGCTGAAAATGGGTTATTGGCAACGGTCCGGGAAGCATCCCTGAGGATGATCCGAAGACATGGCATCACCATTTTGATTCTCTGCAGAGGGGATGGCACCCCAGCTTCAGTAGCCTAACGACCTGCTCGTGAAGTCGAGCACTNAACAGTTTAACGAGGACCCATACCGCACACCCTCGGTCCCTACGCAAACTGATCCAAGTAGTCATCCACCCTCACACTGACCGCAGGCCGGTCATTCTTGACTTCGGTGATCTGCTGGGAACCGTGTCTTAATGATGAATCGACTGCGGGACTTAATCCTTTAAGAACGAAGGGCTTGAAACTGAATTTTTTTTTTCTTTATTAAAAAAATTTGCACTTTTTTTTGTTGAAAATTTTCGCGATAATAAAAAGAAAATTCTGACACAAGGTTGCAGCTAGGTTGCATGCTTTCTGAGCTAGATGTATCTTAGCTCTTACTAGAACTATCTTCTCGTCAAATTAAAGCTGTACTTGCTGAAGAGCAAACAAACTTACACATATATGTGTAACACTTAATAAATAAATAAATGAATACAAGCACGTGTATTCAATTCAAAGGAACATTAAGGGATAATGCATTACAGGTGGACATAACATTGAAAGAATGAAATATATATCCTTGGTTAGAGAAGGAATTCCACCTTTACACTTCAAAATGATCAGCGGATTGACATTACTTTGTGACCATGAAGACCCCAATCATTTACTCATCCGTACACGTATGCAGGTTTGTGTGTTCAGAGCAAAATGATAAGTCTCGTGAAGTAGAGACAAGGTGAGTTGTCACCAACAATGTCAACCTTCATCTATGAAAAGGTACCCCACCATTGAATCGAGTTAACATGCCTTATATACTAGTAAATTCGAATTATATTTTTGTAGTGGTAGATACACTACAGTACTCCCAACCAGAATTATATCTGTGAAAGAATTCGATGAATGAGATACCACTAGTTGATTCATTGCTGTTTTGTGAGAGGTCAGGAGAGCTGTATTAAGATCACCGTACTTTTGCTGATCCTGAGATATGTAGTAAGTTTAGAGTCGTGATTTTTCCTGTGTTGCCATTAGTAGTCGAGTGTATGTAGGCCGACGTTATGTGTGATCAAGACGGAGTAGCAACAGCGTGAGGAGGTGGATAATGTCGCAGTCACAAATAGGCAAGTCAACTGTTTACTGTGGATCACCCAATGAATACGGTGTGTTCAGATCGTAGTGGGCGGTTCTGTCAAGGTAGGCATGTTAACTTCCCGTCCGAAGGTCACCAATGTGCGGAGAGCAGATATCGGCTATGTGGTGGGGTATCTTCATCTCTGATAAGGTACCCCACTACAGAGTTGAATTAACATGCCTTATATAGTGGTGATTTCGAATTATATTTTTTTATTGGAAGATACAATACAAGTCTAAGATCAGAATTTACAAAATGAGGGTCCCGCAGATCGAAAAGACACGGTTCCCAGTAGAATATCGAAGTTTACAATCAATATCTCACTAGAGCTTCTTAATAGGCTATTGGCGACTGTCAAGGAAGCATCCCCGAAAATGATCTGAAGAACTGCCATCACAATTTTGATACTCTTCAGAGGGGACGGCTCACCCACTTTGGTAGCTCAAGGATCTGCACTCGAAGTCTATCACTTGACAGTAGAATAGTTTAACGAGGACCGATACCATGCACCCTCGATCCCTACGTAGGCTAATCAAATTAGTCACCCATCCGTTTACTGACAGCAGTCAGTGATGCTTGATTTCGATGTTCTACAGGGAACCGTACCTTTACGATCAATCCACTGCGGGACTTAGTTCAACAGTAAACGCTATTTCAGAGTATAGATCGTAAGTTTATTAAAAAAAACTCTCTTTAGGTGGAACGTTATGTGGTAACTAGCAGTAACTTTGTCTATTCTATATTCACATAAAATGTGACCAAAAATGCAAGGGCTATTTTCACTGCACGTGATTTATGCACCTCCCTTCAACGTCTGGTCCAATTGCTGAAAACATTCTCCCGAATCTCATACAGTGTAAACGGTCTTTTAAACATCGTTTATTATTTTTTTTTTATCATATTACGATTTAGTTCAGCCCAGTAATTACGCTTTATTTATTTTTTCCGCGAACTTTTAGGTGTCTGCTGGTGTTCATTGTTATTGTTGAGCCTTGCCTCGAAGGGTTTGTCGAGGAGTATCTTGTGAATTGCTGATATGTGAAAAAATATAGCTTTTTAAAACAGTATATCAGTAATATTAATCTACACAGACAATGCAGTTTTTCTTCATTTTTTTAAAAGATGTTTAATGCATTGTCATGCATTAAACATCTGTTAAATATTTCTGACGGCATGTCGTTAGTGTCTAGAACTATGTTATTTGTGTTTTTCTCATTAAATTTTTTGATGGTGCTATGTCAAGGTAAGCATATCTATGCTACAAATTCAATATATAAATGCTACAAATCAGCTATTATATCTATGTTAGAAGTTCAAGGGGAGATTTTATGTATTGTTTATGATTACTTTCTTTTAGTTTGAAATGTTTTTTCAAACACATGTTTTCATTTAAGTGAAACAAAATATCAGTTTATTTGAAGTTATTTTCTGTACAAACAAAAGTTTATTCATGCTTAGTATTTTTTATACATGAAAATAAATAGTATCTGCGCAGTCAAGATACAATTGTTATATTTGCATGTAACTTGCAGCATCATTGTTCTTTCCAAATTTTGTGTTTGTTTCCTGGTATGAAAAACGATGAATTGAAAAGTTTTATTTAATCACGTGTTTGTAAGCATGAATTGTGACTGCAGTCAATTGAGTCAAGCAAGTGACTGTTATGTTTTTGTAATATGATTCCCCCCCTTTTTTTTTGCATTAAAAAGTATATTATCGTTTAATTTCATGCAATTTATTTATTTAGCTTGAAAGGATAATACATTTGTTTGCTTTTGTTTTATTTACCTTTCTTTAACATCCACGACTCTGGGTTGGCAAGTTTTTGACGATCTACAGTTTTAACCATGGTTTTATCCGTCATGTCTAAAACCTTTTTGACAAGTTTCAGCTCAAAATTTTAGTGTAAGGAGAATTAATAGCTATTATAAATAAGAAGTATATATAAATATATCAAATTAAAAGTGATCAATCAATTATGTTCTTGATTTATTTTGATATTAAGCTCTTTTATTTAGCTTTTTAGCTTTTTGTTCAGTATAATAACTTTTTCAAAATAATTTTGAAAGTTAAAGTTGATATAATATTTAAAATTCATTTAATTTTGCATAATTCTTGAATAAATGACCATATGTGTTTTAAAATAGTAGAAATAAAAATATATCGAAATAGTAATAATTTTTTACATTAAGTCCCATCTTATTTATTTTAGGAATTCAAACTAAATACATAAATTGGCATCATAATTTTATTTCGCAAGTTTTCAAAGCGTCACATTTTTTTAAACAAAAAGCTTTGTAAGATGGATGGACTATATTGAATAGTTGACTTGCTATTTGTGACTGTGACAGTATCCACCTCCTCACTCTATTGCTACTCAGTCTCGATCACAAAACCTTGGCCTGTATACACTTGACTGTTAATGGCAGTCCACTGTAAACTTAATATAGCTCTCAAGGTCAGCATTCAAAAGTACAGCGATCTCAATACAGCTCTCTCAGCTTCTCACAAACAACAATGAATCAACTAGTAGTATCTCCCGTTCATCAAATTCTATTACAGATAAAATTCTGGTGGGGGTGTACTGTAGTGTATTTGCGACTTCAAAATACAATTCCAATTCACTAGTATATAAGACATATTAACTGGATTCTATGATGGGGGTACCTTTTCATAGATGCAAGGCCTACTTAGCTTAATTGATGCCCAGGACAAAAACTATTTTTGGGCCTCCCTCTGCTTCAGTGATGAAGATTTGAACTTTGTGTAGGTATTTAAATTTTTCACCTCATTATATAGACAACAAGAAAAGTGACTAGAACCTAAAATAGCTATAAAGTGCCCCCCTCCAATGCTCAGACGAAATATTGCTCTGTCCATTTTATTGAATTTTCGCAAGTACAATGGCTCAATTAAGCCAATCAGAAGCCCATATTTTAGTAAACATATCGCGTTTTGCTATCTGTAAAAATGCAGGCTTTTGATTGGCTAATTTTGTCCATTGTAATTGCAAAAATTTAACTGAATTCTGTACTAGGAAGCCATGGATTTACGAAATACATATTTTTTGTGTTCATACAATAGTTCTGTGTTCATACTGACTACAAAAATACAATTCCAATTCACTAGTGTATAAGACATGTTAACTGGATTCTATGATGGGGGTACCTTTTCATAGATGCAAGGCCGACTTAGCTTAATTGATGCCCAGGACAAAAACTATTTTTGGGCCTCCCTCTGCTTCAGTGATGAAGATTTGAACTTCGTGTAGGTATTTAAATTTTTCACCTCATTATATATAGACAACAAGAAAATTGACTAGAACCTAAAATAGCTATAAAGTGTCCCCTCCAATGCTCAGACGAAATATTTCTCTGTCCATTTTATTGAATTTTCGCAAGTACAATGGCTCAATTAAGCCAATCAGAAGTCCATATTTTAGTAAACATATCACATTTTGCTATCTGTAAAAATGCAGGGTTTTGATTGGCCAATTTTGTCCATTGTAATTGCAAAAATTTAACTGAATTCTGTACTAGAAAGCCATGGATTTACGAAATACAGATTTTTTGTGTTCATACAATAGATAATAATAAAGCCTAACATAAAACTGACAGATTTTTCACTGTATACTGATATTTTGTTTAAAAAAAGTTCATTAATAAGGGAAACCTAAAATAAACTTTCAATTCGATTTGGGGCCCCATCTGATGTGGGTCTCAGGGCAACCGCCCGTAGGCCCCTGCCTATGTCAGGCACTAGATAGAGAATATATGGGGATAGTCGATAACTATCCCCACAGACACATATTTTAGAAAATATATTTTATGCACTATTTTAATGTTTTTATATTTCAGAATTGCCAAAACTAAATCCTTTGTCATTACCTGTCGATTTGAAGGTCGAATCTCGAGCAAAGATTCTGTGCGTCGCTTCTTCTGGCGATCAGCCGATCGATTTCGAGTGGTTGAAAGACGGAGTTGTCGTAAATTTCGGAAAAATCGAGCAATTGGATGAATCAACTTCTTCTCTTACGCTTCAACCTTTGAAATTAGATGATATTGGAAATTACACATGCAAGGCGTCTAATAGTATTGGAAGTGATTATGTCACGGCTCCATTATTTATTACTGGTAATCACTAATATTCTTTTTGTGTTGCCATAATGTTTATGCTTTATTTTTTATGTAGAATTTTCTCTTTGTTCAAGAGTGTTTAGTTTGGCATCTATATAATTAGTACATTTAAATTGTAATTTATGTTTGTAATTCAGGGTTGCTGCTCCACATGGAAAACCTGGAAAATACAGGGAATTTAAAAATCAGCATCATTTAAAAATCAGCAAATCAGAAATTATTTCAGCTATATTAAACTAGTTCATTTACTTATATAATTTGTTTTAAGTTTATTCAGCTGCTTCTTTTTTTCTCTCAAGTTTTTTAAGCAATTATAACTAGTATAGTTAGCCCAATATAGCTCACACAAGAGCAGTGTTTTTCCTCTTAATATATTGTAGGTAATATGCAGTGAGGGAATTTTTTTCCTCCAGACTTGAGTGGCAACCCTGTTGAAAAAAAAAATCAATTAACTTTCGATTATTAATATTATGGCGCAGATTTTTAAAAATGTGAAAATTTTTTTTAGTTTTTAAAGCTGTAAGTTTCTACAATATTTTTCGTAAAAAAAAAACTCTATTTTTTAGCATTCTGGTTCCTGCAGTAAAATATCAATTACAAAAATTTCTATGGCTCTCTTTATGTAAAATTGTTGAGAGAAAAAATAAATCAAATATCAAATGCCCAGATATAAATAACATGCTGTAAGAATTTTAATAATTTTCAAAATGCTTATTCAATGCATTATTTTATTTATTCACTGATTGTAAAAAAATAATCTTAGAGTTCCATCTTCAACAGGATTCAAATAACATGCAAACATTAAAAAACATGCATGTGAAAAACTTTTGTTTTTGCTGGAAATCACTGCCTTTATTTTTTTTCAAAACACACCCAGAACTATATGTATAAATGCAGATAGAAAATTAAATTTTTTTTAGTGTGTTTGGAATTATTTAAAAAATTTAACATAGGCAAAAAAATATTTTTCAATACTTTTGCCTATATTTTGTTAATGTGTCACCTTAAAATTAAATTATGAAATCTAATTTTAATGTCATAAAAAATCATTTAATACTTCTTAACGAGATACAGTAATGCAATTTATCTGTGTAAGAAGGAATCAGACTATATGAAGCAACAGTTTTATTAAAACTAATATAAAATTATTACCCAAGAAAATTTAAGTGACTAACAATTACTTAAATTCCTATTTTTTATTGTTATCAATGAATATACAGGAATTTTTTTGCATTCTAGTAAAATATTTGTGAAACTTAAATCAGATATTAGTATACTATTATTAAGAATAAATTAGCCTCAAGTGCCAATCAACATTGTTTTCAATTTTTTCTTTCTTTTTAGAAATGAAACTAAACTGTTTATTTCCCTAGTTTTTTAAATAATAAAAGTTTCAGCTCTTGAATGACTTCTGAAATTTATTTTCAACAATAGTTTTATATTTGGTCCAAATTCACGAATATTTAAACAAAACAAATTATGTTTAAATTTGTTTTCATGACCAAAAAGTGTTAGAAAAGTATGAATGTTCTGCTTATTTTATATTATAATATCCGCTAACAAACAGTATGCAAAATATTGTAATTCTTACATACGACTTCTTTAATTTTGTAATTTAAAAGCTTATTACAAAGTAAGCAAAGATTAATATTAGAAGGTAAATAACACTTACTCGGCTATTAGCTGCTGCTCGATAAAAATCAAAGGTGGTGTATGATATAAATCAAGAATCGTATCATAGGGAATTAGTAAACTAAAATTTTAGGGAAATTCTTATAATTGCCTATACATTTCGGTACTGTACATGTATATGGCATGCTTAAAATTTATATAATAGTCAGTAGATATAAAGAATAGTACAAACAACCAACGGACAACTGAAGCTGTTGTTCATTGTGCAATGAGAAATATTTAAAATTGACTGTTACTCAGTTAAAGACTTCTGTTTGTGACGCCACTAAAAGACCTTGGTGATTATTTCGGCAGTGGCTTTGGTTGTGGTCAGATTCACTTCTTAAATTCTGCTACTGTAATGTATTAATATTTTGATAAATCATAATTTAAAGAAATTTTGCTCAAATAACTGACATGTAGAAGTTCAGGAAGATCACTATATGTCTTAACAGGTTTAATTAAAATTTTTTTGTTTGAAAAAATCTGCTCTTTACGGTAGAACAGTTTAACGAGGACCCATACTGCACATCCTCACTCCCTCTGCAGGCTGATCAAAGTGGTCACTCAATTGTTTACGGTACGCAGCCAGTGATGCTTGACTTCAGTGTTCTATTAGTTCTTCAGTCTTTACGGTCAGTCCACTGTGGGACATTATTATCAAGGAAACATACTACCAAATGACATTCTTATTCTATTGTATATATATATATATATTTAATTTAGTGTTTTGATAGTCGAAGATGATTTTTTATTTTGCACGACTAGCATGCATGTTATACGAGCTGCAAAAGATTTGAACCAAATGTACATACACTTCAAACGTGATTAAATGGTTAAGCGTGAATGGATTATGCCATTTAGTAGTTAAGTGTGTCATTTTCCCCTTTAAGTTTTTGCCACATGATGCCATTCTATAATTTATTTAAAAATGATTGATTTTGTGGCTTCTACCTTCAAAGATTTTTCATTTCTAAATTTTCTTTAATTTATCATTTCTTTTTTTCAGCTCCTCCTTGGTGGATCATTGAACCTGTTGATTTAAAAATTCGCAAAGGATCCAATGCTATGATACAATGCAAAGCTGATGGTTCTCCCAAAGTTAAAGTCACTTGGACAAAACAGTCTGGTTTGTGTTTTGTTTCTTCCTCTCTTTAATTTGACTCTCATTTGATTTGCATGCTTTTTAGAAGAATTTCTCACACATTATTATGAAGACATTATACCTAAGAAAATTGAATTTAATTCCAACCTTTACTTTTAAGATTTTTAAGACTATTTTGATTTGTCAAAATATTGGATTTATATTTATTTGTAATAATAAAACAGATTTTCTTTCAGCTATCGGGAATTTCAGGATTGCATTGGAGAATAACAATTTTCCTTTTAATTACTGTAATTAGGATATTTTGATTTAAAATATTTTAAAGGTGTTCAAGTAATTTGAATTTGGCCGATGAACAAAAACCCGTGTAAATAGGCTTCTGCGGTGAAATTTAGGATCATATGTTCCTGAAGCAGAACTTTTTTTAAATTTTTACACGTTCAATGTTTTTTTTTTGTTTTATTTTTTCAAGATTTTCGAAGAAGGGGTCAGCACTTGATTTATTTCTAAAGTTTTCTTAATGATTTGGCGGTGATATTTTTATTTTGATGTGGCTATTCTAACTATAACTTTATCTTTATTTATTTTTCTTATTTGTAGGCGTCTCTTTATTATGTCTTAGTTCTTGCACCACATCTAATGAATTAATTTCTCAAATTGCTTTCAAAGACAAATCAATATTTTATCGATGTTAGATAATTCAATGAAAGATTAGGGCACTAAATTGTAACATAGTTTCAATGGTCAATAACAACATATGTTAGGTACTTAAAAATGTCAGCATGAATTACAATTAGAGATGGAACGTAGCTTCAGTAAGACCGGAACTTCGTCCACCCTTCCCTAAGCTTTGACCTGGCCAAATAATGAGTTTTGATTCAGTCAAATTGTTCTATAAAATATTTTTTTTACAATGATTATTATATAAGATATTGTATTCTAAGTAATGCTAAGTTAAATATTGTATTTTAAGCTTTACCTTATGAAAAAACTTTATTGAAATGTTTGATTTACAAGTTTTATATTTTGAACCCTTGGAACCAGACATCATTCAGTAATGTATTCTATTTCATTTGACAGTTCCTAGAGAATGAAAAATTTCTGTACATTGTGTATTATTCAGTTGATAATTATATGAACATCTGTTGTTGTTTTAAAAGGATGCTATTAAAAAACTGAATGAACTCTCTTTAAACATTTCTTTGCTTTAAAAGATCATTATTTTTATAATCTTGTCAGTAGTAGATTTTCCCTCTTGTAGTCCACATTGGTATTTAGAAATAATGTTTAAACAGGGTTACTCTACAGGGTGAATAGGAAATACCTGGAAAATATACAAGGAATTTAAAAATCACTGCAGGAATTTTGTTTTTATTTTCATTTTTTAAAACATTGTAACCACTCAATGCATAATCTAAGGAATATTTAAGGATGATATTCCAACTATACTAAACTATTTCATTTACTATAGCATTATTTTAGTCTGTTCCTTTTTTTTTCTCGAAGTTTTTCCAGAAATTAAAACTAATACATATAATTACCCCAATATAGCTCACTCGAGTGCAGTATTTGTTGTTTATTCTTAATACATTGTGTATAATATGTACAGTGAAAACACAGGGAATTTTTTTACTAGATTTGAGTGGCAACCCTGTATAAGAGTTGTGTCAAAAAAAAAAACTTTCATTAAGAATGTACTGGATAGTAAAAAAAAAATCAGTGACTTAATTGCATGTTTTAAAGTGTATCACACCAAAAATATTAACTTAAAAACAGCAAAAGGTACTTTTTTTGAGAGTTTATTGTAAAATATGGTATTGTAAAAGTCTGTGACCTTATGATGCACAACATATAGTTTTGATGACCAGTATAAACAATTATTTTTTGGTGCGTAGTGTTTTTAAAAAGTGCTTACAGGTGCTTATTTTCGATTTTCTTTTTTAAAATCCCTTAAAGGTGCTTTTTTACAGGAGGTTTTTAAAAGGTGCTTAATACTACTTTTTCAAAAATGAGATTTTTTTCTTTACCATATCAATTTTTGCCATGTATTACGCAAAAATGTGGTTTTCACATTGTCTTATTCAACATTTTCACAATTAATTTTACCACAATCCGTTGGTGCATAGTGTATGCAAGCGCCAATAATTTTACATGTTTGATGAAATATTTGCGAGTCAGCATGTGCGTCTACAGAGATGGGTTCAGCGAGATTCTCTCATATGTAACTCTGCTGCATTTTGTAAGATATTCTCAATTTCAGACTTCATTTTGCACCTTCTGAAATCGAACCAAAAAATATTTAGATTATTTTTTAATGGCTGATATGGTAAGAAAAGAGTTCTTTATCAGAAACTAGTTATTTTATCATGATTATGCAAAGTCTTTAAACATTTTTTTACATTTTGTAATGTCAAAGTACTTAAAAAAATTTTTTGAGAGCTTAAGTACTTAAAATGTGCTTATTTTTTGTTAAAGATCTAACTATGCTCCCTGTTATAGCTTAAGCTCATACATATAATGTCAGTGCTTTTTTTCTTAACGTTAATATTTGAATGAGTGTAATTGATACTTTTAGAAAGTCACCAGACAGCTGTCTTTATGAATCTCCCAAGCAATATTCACGTCTTTGAAAATGGCACTCTCTCGATATCTAATGCCCGAGGATCGGACAACGGAGTTTATATTTGTATTGCATCCAATGGGATTGGAGCAGATTTACAAAAGGAAGTTCACCTAATGGTTTATGGTAAGTAATTTCTTATATGCAAACATCGCATAAAGGTTTCATAATATAATATTAAATGAATACCCATTTACACAGAATATCCGGTTGTTGAAAGGATAGTCGACCATGTCGTCGTTGAACGAGGAGAGAAGGTCCATATTTCTTGTTTGGCAAAGGGAGACCCTCCTCTTTCATTCACCTGGAAAAAAGGCACGAAATACCTAAACGAGTGGTATTCTAACTCTGACAGGTACATTCATGTATTTTTATTTCTTAATTTATAACCATCGTTGAACAGCCGGTCCAATTTTCGGGCATTCGACTACTAATGTTCAACTCCGTAGCCTCGTAATTTAATTTAAATTGCAATTTGTTTTAATTAGCATGGTGCGTAGTGCTTTAAAAAAGTGCTTAAAGATGCTTTTTTCAGATTTTCGTTTTTTAAAAGCCCTTAGAGGTGCTTTTTTGGGGGGTGGTTTTAAAAAGTGCTTAATTTTCCCTTTTCGAAAATGAGTTTTTCGGTCCATAACTATGAAAGTGCCAATCGTTTTATAAGTTTGCTGAGCTGAGTTCGGTGAGATTATTGCACTCTCATGTGCAACTCTGCTGTATTTTGAAAGATATTCTCAATTTCAAGCTTCATTTTCCACCCTTTGAAATTGAGCAGAAAAATCTCTCAATCATTTTTTAATGGCTAATATAGTCAAGAAAAGAGTTTTTTGTCAGAAACTAGTTATTTTATCATGATCATGTAAAGTGTTTGAAAATTTTTTTGCCTTTTGTTAATGTATATAGTGCTTAAAAATACTTCAGGGCTGATTGTGCTCCGGAAAAAATCCGGATTTCTGGACTTTTCGCTTACAGTGATCCAGAAGTTTCCGGAGATCAAAGGCCCAGACGTTTCAAAAAATCATTGATCACAGAAGTTTCTGGAAATCAAATTTTCAAAGGTGGAACTTGAAAACACAGTTTATTTTATTTGTTTGTAAGGGAGAGCCAGAGATACACTTTATAAGCTTGTATTCATGATCAATATTTATTTTTTATCAGTAAATAGTTGTTATAATCATAAACTCAAGAAAGAAAGACATATTTGTAAATTTTATTAATTATCCAGGTCATCATAGGTATGTGTAAATGGTATAGGTATGTGTAAAATTTTAAAAATATTTTAAGTAAACTAAGAAATATTGAGAAAAAGGAAATAACCTTGCTTAAATTTTTTCAATTTAAACTTTTTTTTTTAACTCAAGAAATTTTCCGGAATTTTGACTTGGGCTCACAATCACCCCTGATACTTAAAATGTGTTTTTTTGTTGTTGTTGTTGTTGAAAGATTTGGCTATGCAGCCAGAATTAAGACAAAAGTTTCACAGTATTTATTTATTTATTTTTTGTTTTCAAGCATATCACTTTTGGAGTTACTTAGTTCTAAAAAATGTGATTAAATTAAGTTAGAATTTATTTTAACTAAACACAAAAAAAAGTTATAAATTTTTTTCTCATTTCGTTTTCATGCACATAGGATATCATTTTTGGAGTTACCTACCACAGAAAATGTGCAGTTCACTATTTCAATTGAAAACACAGATTTGGAGGATGAAGGATTGTACACGTGCATTGCCAGAAATGAATTTGGTTCTGATCAAAAAGACGTACGCCTCTTACTTGTTGGTATGTGTTTTTTTAAAAAAATCTATTATAGTGAACTCTCACTACTACGATATCCGATACAACAAAAGCTCCCTCTATTACGATAACGTTTCATGATCCAGGCGAACTTCAAAATGAATTAATGTTATCCTCCTCTCAATATTACGATATTTTCTGAAGCAATAAACCCCTGTAAAACAATTTTTTTTCCAACTTTCACCTTTATTGTCTCCATTTATTATTGGTTTTCAAATAATGTAAAAAATCTGATTTTATCAGCTTTTGCTATTTTTCCATTTTTTTTCTGACAAGAGAAAACTCACTGCTGACCATTCCAAGAACTTCCATTCTTAGAATTGCTTCTCCTTTTCTCTTAAGCGATGGAACATTCTTATCTGTTTTCATTTTCTTCATGTTAAAAGCTGATCATGAGTCACAGATGACCACATCAACACCTGAAAGAGAAGAGTAGAGGGTGGGTGAGCAGCATTCACAAACAAAAATCAATTTAGTACATTGAACCAGTGTTTTCACTACAGCGCCAGAGTCTCGCATATTTTTTTCTTTTCTCGCATTAAAAAATTATTACCTCCAGAAATTCGCGCATTCTATAAATCAATTTCAAAATTCGCGAATTTCTCGCATCGAACAAAGCTTAGAATTACGCCATTTAGAATAAAATCCGTTTCACTTTTCTGCCTGTATCTTTCATTATTTTCAACATCTGCCCCGTTATCTAGCTTCCCTATTTACCAGTATTGTTAAAAACCTTTTCGAACAACAGAACACAACCACAGAACCCCTTTCAGAATACATTTCTCTGCAACCACGTGTTTACCGTAGGTTAGGTTTCGTCATGTAAGACGTTCAAATTTTTTATGTGCTAATGTAAGATGGACAAATACCTTGTAAAGGCAAAATCTTCTATGATGATGCACCAAAAATATTCAATGCTTTAAAAAATAGAAGACATTAAAAAAAATTTATTATAATTAAAGAAATGATTTTTTTTCCAAGAGTTTTTGTGTTTTTTTAATTTTTCGAAATCTCACTTAAGTTTTTGAAATCTCACCCATTTTTTTTTCTATGATGAAAACACTGATTGAACTCAATGCATACTTTGTTGATTGACCCAACAGTCAGAAGAATGAATAAACAAACAAAAGTATCGGATTATTTTCGATAAAAATGATTTTCAGGTCTGTTTGCAATCTTAATTTATTTAAATTGTTTTTAATGTTTAACCATAAGTAACACTGTAAGTTAATTTTTTATATAATAAATGTATTTATGGTTAAAACACGTATAACATTAAAATTTAAAAAAAATCTCATCGTGTCCCCAAACTATGTAAGCCCTCGATATTACAATATATCCCTCTACAAAAATATTTTTGTAGCGAGGTTTTACTGCAATATTGATTTTGTGTGGTTATTATTTTATGAGGTTTTTTGTGCTCCTCTTTGTTTCTCATGCAGCTATTTTGTTGATTTTCGTTAAAAAGTATCAAAGTAATACAGTGGTTCATTCCCAAAGAATAAAGCATTCTGAAGTTAAGTAAGCCCATGTGGATTAATACATGTAGATTATCGCCTTCTACAGGTCTGCCACTCCGCAGGGCGAACAGGGTATTTGAAAATCTCCTAGAATAACAATACCATATTAAGCTAAGTGAATTTTGAATTTGAGTAATCACTTTTCATATTTAGCAAATATTTATATATATGTGCTTTATATATGTGTGACAAAAGGTGACGTATTTTAGAAAAAGTTTGTTTTTTTTAATAAAGAAATTATTTTTCTGACTTAATTCTAATGAAAAGTATTTTAATTTTCTACAAATATACTAATTTTTTGGATACTAAAATTATGTACTAGAACACTAACGTTTATATAAAATCGATCATATTGGCCACCAACTTCACTAATTGCATCATCGTATATGACAATTAAGTCATTTAATAAAATTTTTGTTCTTATTTAGGCAACCATTTTCATAGTTTTTAGCAACTATTTTCATGCTTTAGGCTACGAAAAGCATCAATTTTGTTCAATTTTTTCTATGACAGCCCTGAAAAACTCTTTTCTACTGTTCAGAACTGTTCTTTGTTTATATTCAGTGCAAAGATTAGTGTTTTGACTTTAAACTCAGTTAACTTTTAATTTACCTATGCCACAAAATGAAATGTTGTCTCTTTTCAGAACGTCCTGCTGCTGTTCAATCTGTAGACTTGATTGATATATGGAGTAGAAGTGTCCGTATACGGTGGTCAACACCTGACAATGGAAACAGTGCTATATTGAGTTATACAGTTGAATATTGGACTACACCTGGTAATAACGCTTGATTCTGAATGTCTTAAATATTTTATATTTTTAGAATTTAGTTTGACATTAACAAACATATATATATATATATATGTGGGGACGGCATGAGTGGTCGTCTTAACTAAAAGACACGTTCTTAAACAAAAAACATATATATTGAAGATTAAATTTACATGAGGACGGACGATTAACAATTAACGATTAAATAACAAAAAAATGATGAATGATTAAGAGTTCGTCTTTTCGATCATAACTCCTCTTTGGAGTCCATCTCATCACGTCTTTTTTTGGTTCGTTCTCCAGCCCGCTCTCCCTCCGGGAAATCCCCACTGCTTCCTCGTCGTGCACAGGGATCAGCTTACGGCTTNTTTCAGAACGTCCTGCTGCTGTTCAATCTGTAGACTTGATTGATATATGGAGTAGAAGTGTCCGTATACGGTGGTCAACACCTGACAATGGAAACAGTGCTATATTGAGTTATACAGTTGAATATTGGACTACACCTGGTAATAACGCTTAATTCTGAATGTCTTAAATATTTTATATTTTTAGAATTTGGTTTGAAATTAACAAACATATATATATATATATATATATTTACATACTCAGTGACATGTTTGACATCTCAATGTCACAACTTTTTAACAGAGTTGCCAAGATTTAGAACAGAATGGATTAATCACTGGTTTAAACCGTCCTGCCCAAACCTCTTTGTCCAAACTGTCTTAAACTGTTTAAACCCCAAATTGTGTCACATTTCTTTTTTTTAAAAAATATATTGTGAATAATAAAAGATTAACTTTTGAATGAAACAAATGAAGACAAGTTGTGGAGCTTTAAAAGTTATAAATCTTTTCCTATTGTATTATTTTCTTTTAATAAGTTAAAGCAAATTGTATAAAAAGTATCAAATATTTATTAAAGTATAATATTAATATATGTAATTATTATGTATGCAATGGTTACACATATAGAATTTTTACCTTTTACAAATGTTCTAGGATTTTTTGTTGTAGGTTCGTTTAGTCTAGGTTCTAGGACACTTTAAGACAGTTTTAATCAGATCAGGACAGTTTAAGACAGTAAAACCCATGTGTCCTGTCCAAAACCAGTTTAGGGCATCCCAATCCCCAACCCTGCTTTTTAAATATACAAAATTTATAAATAAAATTTTTTGTTTTAAAAATTCATTAAATATATTTGAATTTCAATCATTCATAACTTCAAATTTGAAACTCGTATTTGAGTAATCCCTTATAAAAAAAGTCCGATTCGTGTGATTTTGTCGTCAATCTTTTTTTCGGTAGTTACTGTAACAGATTTCTCAATTTTTATTTAGTTTCTTTTAATTGTAATGATGATTTATAAAATGCGAAATAGAAAATAATTAGTGTATTTTTCTCCTACAAAGAATATCGCCCATAGTATTAGAATGAAACAAATATTGCATATTCTATTAAGAAAAATTTAAATGCAATTTATTTTATCAAAATAAGCTTTTGTTTGTAAACACAATGCTTCTGTTACTTTAAATTAGTAACATGTATATTTGTTATTATTAAAAGTATCTTGCAGAAATATAATAGTAATAGAGAGGTTTGTTGCAGAAGCCCGAAAAAATTCTGCCATAGGGAGTCATAATAAGAAGAAATATGTAATACACTGCCAGGGGACGCTAATAATTTTAGGTACACATAACAGCGATCTCAGGTCTTGACTAAGTGAAAGAATATAAATATTAAATTGCATCTAAGATAGAAATAAGCATGGATATTGTTATATTATGGCCTATGTAAATACAATATGAATACATTTACTAAATATATTTAAAAAATTTTTTTATCGCAGAGTGGTCTCCTGCCACTTGGGGACTGTGACCACTGGGGGTTGTGCATTCATCTCTGGCCGTCCAACCAAGTCATCTGCACCCCAGAGCCCAAGGACACAGTATTCCTTGGCCCTCTATGGGCTGTTGCACCACTGAGTTTAGTTTATTTAAATGCAGTGCAATACTGCATTATATCTCAGTCTCAAAACTATTTTAATTATGTAAACCATGTAAAATAAATAATTATTAATTATAATCAAACATTAATTGTAGAAAAAGATTGAATACTTTTGTTAAAATTTCAAAATTATGGAAAAAATACAAAAAGTTTGTTTAACGATATGTATGCATCTTAATCTAAAACAATTAATTTTTTTCTAATTAAAATACTCATAAAAATATTTAATAAATATAAACTTAAATACTCATAATACCCTGAGACCTAATTTATTGGGTTCACGACTACTAGTGTTCAACTTCGTGGCCTTTTAATTGTAATTCCTCGGTGATGTTTCTCAGACCGTTGCTAATATGCCATTGTGCAGCTCTACTGTGACGATAATAAAGTACCTACCTACCTCAATTACAATCTGTTAAATGCTTAATAAACTTGACATGTTACTTTGTTCTGAATGTTATCTTTTGGTTATTGAGTTTCTTTTTGGATGCAAAAACTTTTTGGTGTAGTTAAGTAAAAAAAAATTTTGAGTTTCTATTTCCAAAATATAAACTTAACTATATGCTCATGTAAAATTGATATGTAACTGATACTTATTTTTTCTTTTTAATTTTAGGAGGTCATTGGAATACAACAGTCCCAAGTTCAGCTTCCTCCTGTATTTTACGAGATTTAAAACCATTTCACCAGTATACTTTTCATATATGGGCTAGTAATTCTATTGGAAATGGTGAACCTTCTGAAGAAATTCAGTTTACTACTGCTAAAGAAGGTATTTATGCCTTATTATTTGGATTTTAAATTTTCTTTTTTAAAGAAAAAGATATCGTTAGAATGGTCAGATTGAAGTATGATTCATTACAATGTCTGCTGCTATTCGGATCATCTTCAGGGTTGTTTCCTAGACCGTCACTAATAGCCCAAAATTTTTTAACTCTCTCCCGTCCTTTGTTAGAATGTGCACCTCACTATGTCACATAAATATACACCAGAATTTCAGAAACAAAACGCATGTGGTCGATATTATTTCATATTTTATTTTTAAACTTTTACTCTAACATTCCTGAGGACAATATCACGAACACTCTTCCTTTCCTCTAACTCCTTCGAGCTTTAACAACTACGCTACAATTTAGCATCCTATCAACTGCGCCACTCCTTCTTGTTAACAGCGAAAAAAGTCCTTATTAACTTTGTTTATCCTTATTATCAGTATTTATCGAAATCCTTATTTAAAAAAAAAATTAAGGGTATCTTGAGATAAAATTAAGGATGTCTAAGGGACGTAAATAAAGTACCTATCTTTAAGTACCATCCATTTTGGCTGTTCAACGACAGTTATAAAATATAAATTATAAATAATGGTTTAAAAAAATCTTAAGATTAAGATTTATATACATATTTTTTACTTCGCTAAATGCAAGTGCATATACGATCAAACCCCGCTAAAGTGAACTTGGTTTATAGTGAACTCCTAGATATAGTGGACGAAATGTTCGGTCCTGTGCCTTGCTATACGCGGATAATGTTACTTTTTGTGGATATAGTGAACCAAAAAAGTGAGGAAGTCGGATATAATGAACTTTTTTCTGTCTTCGACTGATTTTTAAAAAAAATTTTTTAAAAATAATTTTGAAATTTCTACTTCAAAATAAATACATATACCAATTTTCAAAACCATCCGTAGAAGGAATGTAGCGATAAGCATTTCTTCTTGTTTGCTTCTTTTATCTCACTTTCTCATCCCTAAACAAACCAAGCAGATATTTCCAACTCAGGCAGACGATGCACCTGTAAGGTGTCAGTGGGATCAATATGCATTTTCTGTCAGAGGGAATGAGTAATTATTCATTATTGGTCAAAGAGTTGAACACTAATATGTGTTGATAAGGCCTTCATTTCAACTCCTTTTTGCTCTCAGTTCAGTTTAAAAAAATCCTGCAAACAAGTGTTTCAAATTTAACTACGGCGAGCAGTAAGCGTAAAATGTTCTCCATTGATGATAAAATGGACATAATCAGAAAAATTGAAAATGGATGCAATCAAGCTGATATTTGCAGGAAACTATCCAATTCTGCAGTTTGTAACATATGGAAAAATAGGCAATTAATAATTTCTGCTCATGAAGAAAATTTAGATGACAGAAAAAAGTTGTGAAAAGCAGATCACAAGGATGTTGAAGAAGCATTATTGAAGGTTCACCAATCGAAGAAGCCGCAATCTTTCTGTATCTGGACAAATGTCGATGAATTTGTTAAGCGACTTGTGAGACTACTTTTATGTGCTCGAATTGCTGGTTAGACAGGTTTAAAAAGCGGAATAACAGAAATTCGGGAAAAAATATCTGAGAGTCGGGAAGTGTTTCCATATCTGATGTTGAGGATTGCTCATCAGCTAAAGATTACTAATTTTTTTTTAGTACGCAAGACGAAGAGTAATGCGAAATAACAAATTTTTTGTTACTATATAATATTTTTCAGCCATTTATTTGAATAATGTGTAATAAAAGGGAAGAGTTTGGGAACTATTAGTTAAATTGTTTGAGTAACGGATATAGTGAACTCCCGGTTATAGTGAACCAAAATTTCGGTGCCTTGAAGGTTCACTATTATTTCCAATTTTGAATATCTCTTTTGACTTACATGATGATGCATGATGTATCAAAACTTTACTTGCAGCCTGAAAAATTTTGCTAGTAAGATCTATGCTATTTTATTTCTCCAATGTTGGCAGGTATGAACAAAAAAAAAAAAATTTAAAAAAAAAAGAACAAAATTGTCACATTTTAAAAAATTGAAGCATTTAGAATTATTATACCTGTAGAATTGATATACCTGTGTTAAATAAGCTTTCTATAAGAGAAATATCCATATAAGTGGAAAATTGTTGGAAAAGAAAATATAAAAAAAGCTGTTGTAAATTTTTTATACTTTTTTAGGAAAATTTCTTCTAATGGCTGCTTAGTTTATTTCAATGTAGGATTCTTTGTTTTGTAAACTTCATTTAAAGTTATGATACAAAACTTCATATGAAATGATACTTCATTCGAACTCTTTCATGGTTTAGTTTTTTCAGTGTTAGCAAAATTATCAAATATTCTAAAAAAAACTTTAGCTTCTAATTACCTACCTGCCTATAAAATATATTGCAAAAAGTGTAGCAGTCGGCTGCCCTGTGGAAATCTGCGACTTTAGAACTTCCCAGCACCAAATAGTTGGTTTTTTTGCAAATTTAAGCAAAGAACCAATTAATTGCAATTAAACTAATTGGTAGCAATTAAGCATTACTCAAGAGCTATTTGAAAAGAGAAAAAAAATCTGCCTAGATCTATAGAAGATATCTTTTCTAGAAGGCTATATATTTTTCAGGGTTGCCACTCCACAGGGAGAATAGGAAAAACCCGGAAAATACAGGGAATTTAAAAATCACTTTAAATAGCATGTTAAGGTAGGGAATTTTGATTCTTTTTTTCTTTACAAACTGGGAATTTTGTTTCTTATTTTCTTTTGAAAAATAGTGACCTCTCATCGTGTAATCTATGGGGTATTTAATAATGATATTTAAGCTATACTAAACTATTTCATTTACTATAGCATTACTTCAGTATGTTCAGCTTTTCTTTTTTTTTCCTCCAAGTTTTTCCATCAATTAAAACTAATAAACATAGTTAGCCCAATATAGCTTAAACAAGAGCATAACAATTATTGTGTGCCTGTTAATATATTGTGTATAATATGTACTGGGAATTTTTTTCCAGAAATTTTTCTCTCCAGAATTCCCCCCCCCCCCCNCCCCCCCCCCGTTTTTATATCATCTTAGAATAAGGGACATTTCTATTTAAAGAACAATTTTTGATTTCAAGTGTGTCCCTTATTAGGGAGTACTACTGTATAAACAAATGTTAAATAAACAATATTTATGCACTTATTTTAAATGCATTTTGTTTGATTATTAGAGCCTTCATCACCACCAGTTGATGTGAAAATTGAAGATATTGGTTCAACTTATGTTCGACTATCGTGGAAGGTATGACAGTTTTTTATATTGCAATAATCGTAATTTAAATTTTTCTCTTTTTGTTACATAAGACGCATAATTTTTATACTTAGGTTTATAAATTTTTGTTATACAATTTTAACATGTGACGTGCAATTTTTCCACTATATTTTGAATTTTGCAAGTGAATAGCTGAAAGTAATTTTAATTTGAAGTGCTTTAAGTTGTTTTTTATGTCTCAGTAGAGAGTTGTATTTTATTATAAGACCTTCATATCACTTAAAGATGTTTCTTAACTTAATGTATTTTTCCACAAGCTTCAGTCAATCGTAAATTATCATTTTTTTTAAATTCGTAAGAAACACTTTTTTAAAAATAAAATGTTGGTTTAGGTAAAATATATTTACTTTTATACAGTGCGGGGTGATTCATAAAGAGGTATATAGTTTAAATTTACTATAAATTAAGTACGATGTAAGATATTATATATAATCTGCAACAGAATTGTATGGGATTATTTTAAGTTTGGTTTGGGACAGTCGTAGAACATGTGACCCCTTAGTCATACGATGCATATCGAGGCAGTGATCGTTTTCTACCCAAACGCATGTTAAGGTTTTTTAATCAAGCCTATTGATAGTGGCTGTGATATATTGTTTCAGCTCTGCTAGATAAATAGGCAGGGTGTGCCAACCACTTGAAAAACCTAGAATTATCATGGATTTTTTTTTTATATTAAGAAAAAATCTGGGAAATATGGATATAAACCAGGAAAATCAGGGAATTTTAAAGAAAATCTGGAATTGTTTCTTAATTTATTTATATTATTTTATCATCCATTATATCCATTTTATTTAGTCAGAAATTCATACAGTTGAAATATCATCAACTTAGCAATACTTTGCTTGCATTAAAATTCTCTCCATTATTACCCTGCTAAGCTAGAATACCACAGGAAACTCTCCCATGGTTGCTAAATGAATGGAGAAACTTTTGACCTCTTTGGAGTCAATGCAATTTAGGAAAGGCAAAGATTGTGGTGGAGGTGGAAGAAGGGGTCAGGATATTTGCTTCTGTTTATAAATGTGTATTTAAAAAATTTTTTTAAAAAAAATTCTTATTTAGTTTGTGGGCTGAATCCAAAGTAAAGTTAAAATTATTAAAAATTTTGCTTTTTCTTATCTGAATAATTAGAATTTTCTATTTTCGGAAGACTTTTACAACATATAAATAACAAATATCAGTGTTCCCCATAACAAACAAAAGGACCAAAGTTACAATTGTTGATTACACAAAAATAAATACTGAGAGTTAAAAAATTATGAAACACAAAGTTGATAAGGTTACCCTATCATTAAATTGATGTCCAAAAAGCAATTTGGATTAATTTTAAAATTAACTTTACAACAAAAAAAAAAAGCAATAATGAAATTTAAAACATAAATCTATTATAAACTTTCAAATTGCGTTGAATTTCAAATTTTGCCAATCTAATAAATTAAAACCTTCTGTAAATTAACAAAAAATGTCAATCATGTTTAATAAAAATGTAATATAGATGTAGTAATCAATTGAGAGGACGCCATACCGTGGGGCTATTCTTTCATTGTAAATTCACTTTCATCTCTGTAACTAAAATTTAAAGTGAAGTCAGACAAACCTTAGAGTGAGTCTTGAAGTTTCAATCCCTTTTTTCTCCAAATATCAAATTATTGGAAAAGAACTTCCCCGTTGCGTAATCCTAAATTATCTTCTCATATTTTATTTTGATATTTTAAAAATTTCTTTTCAGTATTATTGCAAACTAGGTTTGTCTGAACTAATTTTCTCTTCTTCACTTCAAATTTTAATTTAGTTTTTGAGGTGAAGGAGAATTTGGAACAAAAAGTTTCCTCCCGGTTCGGCATTCTCTTAAGTGTTTAGGTCATTTTTAAAGTTTACATTCCCCCCCCCCCTGAGATTCCTGTTTATTGAATCAGCTCAGAAAATTGAATGTTCACAGCTTGGATCTGACTTTAGTAGGTACTGCCAAGTTAAATTAATTGAAAGTGCAGTCAATCCATTCGATAGGGGTGGACAACCTGTTGTCCATGTGCGGCCCATGGCTGCAATCTAAACAAAATAAAAAAATAATTTTATTTTGAAAAATTAAAAAATTAGGCAATTTGAAATTAAATTGTTTTTGACTGAAGCACCCAATCTCAATAAATGTAGTTTTTCTATCACTATTTTCATAATTTTTAACCCTATAAACTTTCTTTAAATCAGTTTTTAACTTGCATTTATTTTGAAAACTAGAATATTTTTTTTTTCAAATTTAATTCTATGAAGAAATTTTTAATGTTAAAATTTATGTTTAGACTTTTGTATTATGTAATATGATTAAAAAAAACATGAATTTTCCCACAGTTTAATTATTTTAATTTATCTAATCTTTTTTTCTAATAAATTCAATTGATTGTTTTTTCCCTCAAGTAATCAGTTTTTCAACTTTTAATTTTAAACATTTGAAAGTATTTAATTTTATGCAAAGATATTACAAGGTTAACTGAAAGAAAAAAAAGAATTTAGTGCCTAAAACGATGGTGTTTATATAACAGTTGTTGGCAATATGTCTATCTACATACTTTGTCATGCAGCCCTCATTGGTCAATCTGCTATGCATGTGGCCCTTCATTCAAAAAGGTTATGCAGCCCTGTCTTAGTCAGGTTCTGAGGATGATGTCAGTTACATAATTTAAATTTCTTCTTTCAGTCCCCTCCCCGTGAAACATGGAATGGAGACTTGACTGGGTATTACATTGGATATAAGCAAAGCTCTTCTTCTCTTCCCTTCACTTTCAATACTGTGGAAGCGGATGAAACTCATTCATACGATTACATATTGAGGGGTCTGAGGAGGTCAACACGTTACGTGATTTCTGTGAGGGCCTTCAATGAGGTCGGAAGTGGACCCCCGAGTGAAGAAACTTCTTTCAAAACACATAACTTAGGTAAGATAATCAGCTTCAACTTTTATCTATATTTATTACGGCTTCATAGTCTAATTTTGAGAATTCCCTTAATAATCTGTTTAAATTAAGTCAGCTTTCAAAAGTTAAATTTTGTTATTTGCTACTGATCTACCACAGTATATTTTTTGATGGTTTCTCTAAGGTAAGAACTCCCCTAACCATTTGTCTGAACCAATGAAAGTGACTATGCTAATGCTGTATGACTGTTTCAAGCAGGGGTGGGGAGTCATTGTTTAGGACAGGTTTTGGCTCAGGCCGGCAAGAGAAAAGGAATTTTTTTTTTGGTCTACTGTATTATCCCTAGAGTGAAGAAAAGCTACCATCCCTGAAATGCGCTGTTCTAGTTTCCATGGCAGCAGACGGCCTCAGACTTTGCGACGAGGGGAGTTCTTACTGTAGAGAAACTGTACTCCTTAGACAATTCTAAAAACAATAAATGAAAAACAAAAGCGATTTGTTAGAAATCAAAGTAATTAAAAGACAAACAAATACACTAAAAGAAAACATCACAGAAAGGGACCAACTTGAATAATAGCCACCCTCAGGCAAACATCTACATATTTTTTTTTGCATTAAATTGCAAGTTTAAAATTTGTCACCTTGGCGATTGTAACTGGTGTGACAGATCACGATATGGAAATATCCCCTTGTATTTTTCAAAAAAATAAAGAGTTAAGGAATGTTTTTTGAGTGCTTGAAAAGTGCTTACGAGGTGCTTATTTTTTGTTTAAAAATTTGGCTACACACCCTGTAAAAAAATACTTATGATAAGTCTTTTTTATTTGTTTTAATTGAATAAAGAAAATTTAAAGATTTTCTTATTATCAAATTTTTTAGTCTGTGAGTCAAATGATCACAACAACAACCAATCTAAATCATCTTTATGCCAAAATCCATTGTTTGTAAAATTTTTGCATTGTATGCATTTTTAATCAGCAAATTAATTGCAATGAATGGTCAACCATGTTTAACACTAAAACAACTGCTATTTTTACCTACCTAGAGCAACCATTGTGGTCATTTTGACTGCATTAAGAAAATGAGCATGAATATATAATTTGTATTTCAAATATCATGAAAAAAATAGAAAAGGTCTTTTTTAATAAGTTTGACACTATGCAGTATTTTTTCTGTAAATAATTGCCTTTATTTTCCGGAAAAATATCATAAAGTTACATATCATTGCAGATATTTGCACATTATTTGAAATCTTAGTTGCGTGGAATTATTTAATGGTCAACTACATTTAACACTAGAACAACTGATATTTTTACCTCGAATGACAATTGCAGTCATTTTGACTGCATTGAGAATATAAGCAGGAATTAATTATTTGTAATTCAAATATCATTATAAAAAATTAGAAATGCTATAATAATTTTAATAATAGTACAATAATTTAACACCATGCAGTATTTTTTTATGTAAAAAATTACCTTTATTTTCAGGAAAAATAACGCCATAAAACAAATACATATCATTATAAATACTTGCACATTATTTGAAATAGTTGCGAATGAAAATTTCTGGCATTTTCAGAACATTTTTGTCTAGTGTCAACAGAAAGGGCAGCCTTTATTAGTTGTTTCAGAAAAGTCAGTGTGGAGTAAACAAGTAGTTTCATTGATGAAAAATATAAAAAGTAGTTTCTTTTTTGAAAAATATAACAAGTAGCTCCTTTGTTAAAAAAATATAACAAGTAATTTTTTTGTTGAAAAATATAAAAAGTAGTTTTTCTGTTGAAAAATATAAAAAGTTGTTTCGTTGTAGAAAAATATAACAAGTATTTTTATTTATTTATTTCGAAAATTTCATTACCTTACTACAATTCATTATTAAAGCTCAAAATAAAGGACTTTCAAGAAACTTAAGAAGATTAACATGTGTTTTTATTTTATTTTATAACCGTCGTTGAACAGCCAACCCAATATTTTGGGTTTATAACTACTCATGTTTAACTCTGTAATCTTGTAATTTCAAACCCAATCCCGAAGACCAGGGAACACCTGGATCCTTCGTGGTGGACTTTATTTGATGGAACTAACCCGTGTATACGTTATATGGAGAGGAAATCTTCCCGCGGTTATCCTGATGGCAAGAGGGTTCTAATCCATGATCCGTCTACCACTGTGGATATTTTACGTCAACACTGTGGTCGATGCAAGCCAGGTGGGAAATTTGAATAAACTGGCTTGCACCAGGAATAAAACCTGGTTCACTTCATTGGGAAGGAAGCGCTCTATGGCTCTAGTTACATGCTTTTAAAAAAACATCAGGTAAATTGGCAAAGTTTAAGTTGAAAATTCAAAATTGGCCATATTCTAGAAATTGCTCCTGCCGTTTACAATTGGCTTATTTAGTGTAGCACATCCACCTTAAAAGAAAAAAAAACTTACTTTAAAAAAGTGTCTGTTGGTGCTTTTCTTTCCTACAAAGAAACATATCCATTAGTTATATATTGGCATATTCACCAAGTCTTTGTCTTTTCCTAAGCATATCAAACAAAATATTCCATAGTCTGTGAGAAATTAAATCCAAATTTCTATATCTTTTTTCTTTTCTAATGCACTGTATAAATTTTTAACATAGGTAATTAGTAACAGCATTTTCCCTGCTATAATATACAAATAATAATTTTACACCTAAATTTACCTTTTCTCGGTTGTGTTGGGGCAAGTTAGTTGTTTCAACTGTCAGAATAGAAACAACTCGACATAATTAGAGCCGTGATGACTCAGGAGCGTTTGCCTTCCAATGATGTGAACTGGGTTCGAATCCCAATTATTGTTATCTCACCCTACTTTAATAAAATGTTATAGGTCAAAATCAGCAGTTTATTTTGAATTGCAACTTTCAAAGCTTTTTGGAATGACGATGCATGTACCTATACAATATTCATTTCCATCTATGAATATATAGGGGAGANTTGTTATCTCACCCTACTTTAATAAAATGTTATAGGTCAAAATCAGCAGTTTATTTTGAATTGCAACTTTCAAAGCTTTTTGGAATGACGATGCATGTACCTATACAATATTAATTTCCATCTATGAATATATATTTTGAAGCTTTGTTGCTGATTTTTAAAAAGGTTTAAATTTTTATGAACATCTTTTTTAGTCACATTTTTCTATGATTCCCGAAAGTTGTCCAATTAATTTTTGTTTAAAAAAAGTATGTTAAGGAAGTGAACTTCAGATTGTTTTAAAGTTTCTGTTATTCGTGAAAGAACCCGGTTTCCAAATTCTTTCATTCATAAACTACACATTCAGCATCATTACTTAAAAATCTTTGATCCCTACTTTTTTAAACTTGCTGCTTATTTTTGTTTTTATTTTTCATGAGGTGTATCTTATCATAAATGTAAATTATTGTTAATATTTCTGCTAATTATCATATACTTTAAATAAAACTATATACTCTAAACAAATAAAAAATTATGTTGATTTTATATTGCTGTTGTAATTTTGATGTCCTTTACTATTTTTCATGCTTGCCAAAGTATCAAAGGTAACAAGTTAAATTATGTATTTATCATACGTTTATTTCAAAGCACATTAAATTACTGTGTTTTTAAAACTTAGTAACTTTTAAGTTTGATTCAAATTGATAATTTGATAGAAAACAAATTTTTTTTTCTATGTATAATATTCTCTTAATTCATTGAAATATATTTTGGGTCTTTTCAAAAACTGCAATTTTTGAATCAATTATACCAGTTGTTGCCGAATGGTGTTCCACAGAACGCTTGTGTTCTGCCCCATGCCATTGTTGCAGAACATTAGGGTTTTTGCAGAAAGAGTTTTCATTTGGGAAGAGAAAAATGTTAGTTTTTTCTGCATAATTTATCAAAAAATGCTTTTTTTTTTCTCTGTAGAATTTTTTTCAAAGATATGTTTCTTGCGCATCAGAAAGGAAAGAAATAATCCCGATTTTTCTATTCTCATTTAGGATTATAAAAAAGGTCATAATGGCTGACTTTAGATAGAATTTTAAATTAATTATATAAAATATAAAATTCAAAAATCTGTAAAATTTAAAAGATAGTTTGCTCTAGAAGTGATTTTTTTAATTATTTATATTTTTTTTAAGAGCGCCATGTTTTATACTTACTTATTTGAATATCTGTTTTCTAAGGAGTTCTATTCGCTCTATTTTGTCGATCTTTATTTTGGAGATACTGCACAGATTTTACTACTTTTAATTAAAGTATGAATTTTAATTTATTTGCGAAGTTTAGTTTTTGTAATGATTTACAAAAATTTAAAAAATATTACTTTTACAGTTAAAATTTTTTATACATTTTTATTCTGTACATTTTTCTGTAAACACATTGTTTCTGTTGCTTAAATTAATAATTGTTAAAATCAAAAGCATCTTAAAGGGTAGTTAGGAAGTTAGTCGCAGTGAGCCAAAAAAAAAAAAATCTGCCGTTGGGGTNAGCCAAAAAAAAAAAAAAAAAATCTGCCGTTGGGGTGTTCATTGAAGTGACGCAGGGATTCTGAAAGTTAGGACTTTTTTTAGGCTTATTCATTCAACATTGTACTTAATAAAATTTTAAAATGTTGCTTTGTAAGCTTTAATTGAAAAATTTTTAACCAATAAGTGGATATTAATTATAAATGTCGCAGAATATTATTTTAACTGTTCCAAGACATGTTCACACTCATTTGTATTTAACATTGATAAAATAAATTTTTTTTGTTTTATTTTTTATGGTGTTTCTAAATTAATTCATATGAATTTCTCGAATCAACCCCAACAACAAAATAACTTGGGCCCTCATTGGACCCATATTCATGAATCTTGGATCAATCTTGGATTTTCCGACATTGACCCTAGATAGAATTGTCCGATGACCCAATATTTTACAACCAATATCGGCCCTATATAGAACTGTCAGATTCACCCGATATTTTACATTATTCAGCCAATGCTAGACCCTCGGTGCATGTAGAACCCATATTGAGCAAATTATGAGCCCAACTGGGGACAAGGAAAAATTGTTGCTATGAAGTAATTATTTTCAATTCTAATACTAGTTTAATTTGTTGTTTTAAAAACATGTCTTGTGAATTAGTATACATTGGTAATATAAATCAAACAATTTTTTCATTAATTTTTTTAAAAAAGGGATACCCTTAATTGATATTTAATTAAAATTATGAAATAATATTCTCTTGAAAATACAAGTCATAATTGTTATAAAAAAAACAACTTAAAATAACTTAACTTTCTCTCCTGAATTATGTTTGATGTTAAATAATGAAATGGAAAGTTTTTCTTAAACACCAAATTTAGCAACAAAAAAAAAATTTCACAAGACATTTATTAACATTAGCAATTTAAACAAAATAATTCATTTTTGAAATCTGTTTCAATGACATACCTAAAATTAGTTTTTAAAACTTTCAGAGCCTGTTCCTCGACCTAGTCTTCTGGTCCAAGATATTGGTTCCACTTATATTCAAATTAAATGGGTTTCTGACGATACAGTGAAGCTGTCAACCACAGGTATACTTACATCCTATAAGTATATGTGTTAAGTCGGACGTCTAATGTATAGATCTTGGATGATCTTTACATGTCGAGATTAAACTATAAACCTGTATATTTAGTGTTTAATATGTGGATGAGTCTAATAATTTTTTCAAAAATGTTTATAGCATATGTAATACACTATAGAAAAAGTGGTAACAAATGGAGTGAAATACTAGTTCCAACTGCTGAACAGGACATCTATACCTTGACTAATTTGGACTCTGGAGCACCCTACCAAGTTTACGTGACATCCCACGGTGAAACTGGCATCAGCGAACCGAGCGAAATAGCCACTGTGCGAACTTCCCCAGAAGCAATTTGTAAGCATTTGTTATCTACTAACAGAGGCGTTTTCTTTTCTTTTCCTTACGTTCATCTATTCCTTTACAGTCCACGTGCCACCTCCCACATCAGCTCACGCCCAGCCCCCGGTAGATGACGCCACTCAAATACTCTACATCATTGTGCCTGTTGCAGTGGCTACCGTGATTATTGTTATTGTGATTGTTTCTGCTTGTGTTTATGTTTATTCGAAGAGACCTCTACCTGCTTTGAGTCAAACCTATGGAGGTAAGAAAATATAACTTCTCTATGAAATAAATACAGAGTTGCAACTCCACAGGGAAAACCTGGAAAATACAGGGAATTTTAAAATCACCTAAAATTACAGGAAAAATGCAGAGAATTTTGATTTTTTTTCCTTTACAGACTTGGAAAATACAATTTGTTTCTTTTAATCGTTTAATCTTAAAAAAGGGTGACTCCTGAAAACGTTGTCTATGGTATATTTAAGGATGATTCCTTAACTATTTCTTTACAACTATTTCTTTAACTACAAACTATTCAAAACTACTGCATTATATAAGTATGTTCAGCTGCTCCTTTTTTTTTCTCAAAGTTTTTTCAGCACTTAAAAGTAATAAATATAGTTAGTCCAATATAGCTCACGCAAAAGCATAGTTATTGTGTTTCCTCCTCATATATTGTGTATAATATGTACAGGGAAAACAGAAGGAACTTTTTTTTCTTCAGATTTGAGTGGCAACCCTGCAATATCTTGCGGGTCTCCAAAAATTTTTGCTCCCGGACGCTATTTCTTCCGATTCTTTTGTTAAATATCTCCTGATTTCGTATACGATCCGCCTCTTTCTTCCCTTCTCTATATTTTTTTTGTGATTATAATCTCCGCTTAAATCTTCTTTTTTTTCTTTTTCTAAATTTAGAATTCTGCAGAATATATCCACGCATAAATTTCAAATATTTTCATTTGGAATACATATTTATAACAACAAAAGGCGATTTTAAAAAAAAATTTAAAAGAGCTCAACCTATTTTTGTTCCTTTTGTCAACCAGTCATATTTTGAACTAAAAGATTTTAATATTTTAAATTGTTTTATGTTTAATCACTACAAAGTAATGTGAAATGTTTCACTGCTCTGTCAATAAAATTAAGGAATTCAATCAAATAAGACTACACATTTTATTTACATTAATATTTTTGAAGTATATAAAGCTTCAAAGTTTTATTTATAATCATGTATTATTTATTTAAGAAAAGTAGCCCCTTAATTGAAGCATAAACTCTTTTTGTAATTACAGTTTATTGCATTAAAAAGTGATCTGCATAAATGAGTTAATAGTTGTTTAAATTTGTTTCAGATCTTCCAGTAACAAAAAACTTCAGTTATATGGCAACAGCCCCTCGTCAGCGAGATATTCCAATCACAATCAGTGGTGGAAATGTGATTAATTACGGTTCCCCTTATTCCACTGTTCCTCTAACCAGGCCAGAGGAAGAAGAACCCATTTATGAATCTGTTGTTGGGGACACGCTGCACAGAATCAAACAAGTATGTATCTTCTTTATTTTTAAAAGTGGAATAAGTCTTGATTATATTTAAAAATAATAGCAGGGTTAATCAGTTTAGGTGATGTTTTGAACAATATAATTTGAGGAAATATCAGGACACAGCAATAATTATTCAGGATGCGTGGCATTTCAAAAAAAGTGCTTTAAGGTGCTTCTTTTTTAATTTACGGTTTTTAAAAGTCCTTGAAGGTGCTTGTTTTTTTCAGGGTTTGTAAAAAGTGCTTAATTTTCTATCTTTCGTAAAGATACTTTTCTGTGCTGTGTCAATTGTCCTAAATAACAACAAAAAATTCACGATTATCACAATTTTCTCTCCAATATTTATCAGAAACTATATATTTTATCAAGATTATGTAAAGTTTTGGAAAATGCTTTTGAATTTTATTGATTTTATGTTTATTAAGAACTTTAAAATATAGAAAGAAATTTTTTATGAGTGCACAGATCCTAATTAGGAGTTTTTTTTTTTTTTTTGTAAAGTGATTGTAAATATTTTTGAAGTGCTTGAAAAATGCTTAAAAGGTGCTTAATTTTTGTTGAAAAATTTGGCTACTTACCCTGTTATTAGTGTCGAAAAAAATTAAATCACTTCTTCGCTCCTTATGAACATACTCCACTTCCAAAAATCCATCCCTCATGCAGAGGATCTACATTGAGACGGCATGTCTTCGGATCATCCTGAGGGATGTTTCCCAGACCAAATAGCCCATCTTGTATGAAATAAATAAGGTATCACTATTTTTACGTAATATTAAGGAATCTGTTCTCCTCTAATATCCTCCTATAATATCTCTATTTTTTCTTGAACGCCTCAGCGCTAAATGGATAGGTCTTTTTTAAAAAGATTTAGAGCACTTTTTTGGCACGCTTTTAAAAACTGTTTGGAGAAGTATCACAGAGGAATTTCCTTCAAGCTAGGAGTACTGCTGTACAAAGCGTATTCTGCTAAGCGTACTCCCACCAATATTTTAATAATGTGAGTCTCTGGCGATCACAATATTTCACTCCGTTTGTTTCCAGGGTCTGTTTATTTGTGTCCGCTTCTTACTACCTGTTTCTGCCCATGATCTGTTTGAATCTGTGCCGAGTAAAGAGGACTATAACTTGAAATCTTTACCCTAATTTGTTGAAATTTCGAAAAGAAGAATGGAAAACTTATTTCTTAGTGAGTCAAATAGCAGTGAACAAGAAAGCTTTTATGAGGCTCACAATAATTTCATTAATAAATCGTTTTTGTATTACTTTTATAACAATTCAATAGTTTTGTTACTTCTTGTGAAATATCTGTACAAATACGCACCAATATCCTTCGCATGCAGTCGAATGAGCGTCACTTCGATACTGGTGAAGCAGCCCGATCAGAAACTTGGCTGCCACCTGAATATGGGTAATGTGGCAGTCAACGCTTTAAACTTGCAGATGTATTATAAATGAGTAAGTTTGTATATGTGTTTTTTTTAATTGCTTGTTTTATTTTTCCAACAGAGATGCTTTGATGATGATTTTAAAGGAGCAACCATCGTGTGACATCTTTGCGTGTAGTATTAACTAACTGTGATTGTGATAATAGTTGTGCGCATGAAAATGATTTTAATACAAGAACACTTTACGTAAATTTTCACCTGAATGTGTGTGTGTATATATATATAGAGAGAGAAATTTTGTGACCTTGAAACTATTTATATTTATAGTCGACCTCAAAACTATTTATCATTTTGTTATGAAAGGGTAGCAGCAAACTTTGCACTTATTTGTTATTTCACAGTGGATGATTTTCATATCTAAAATTATTTATGCACTTTAATTGTTATTTTGTCATCAACACTCATTTTTGCAAACTTCTGAAACGTTTTTCCTTTTAATTTGTGGAGAAAAAAAATTGTGAGTTTCTGAATGGAAAATATGGTTTAGAAAATATAAACATGAGCCACATTAATAATTTTCAATGTAAAGTGCACATAAGAAGTGTGAATTTTTTTACAAATTGCATAAAGAATTGTTAATTTTTTTTTAATTAAATAAGTCAGATAAAAAAAATTCTGTTTCATGAAAAATTTGATTTCATTTGTGAAGAGGGAGCAAAAGTTCTACTTTTTGCATATTGAGAATCTTATTTTGTCAGATGGTTATTATCACTGCTGTAACTCAAATTGTATTGCTTCCAATGTTTAAGAATTTTTTGAAAGCTAGTCAGAATTCTTTCAAAAATTTTAATATATTGTAATGCTTTCAATATTTAATGCATTTTCATCTTTATAATTCTGCTGCTAAGCATTAAAATGTTAGTATGAAAAAAAAATGAAGTCCTAAAGGGGGATTAGTAATAAGGAGTTGGTGAGGTAAAATCAATTGTATTATCGTTACTTTAAAGTGCTATTTCTTTGAACTAATAAATTTGAAATGAAAAGTTTGTAAGAGAATTGCATCCTGTCTTTGTTTCTCTGGTGTTCTGGTTTTATACATGTATTTTCAGAAAAAATGGCAAACCTCAGAAACAAGGATAGAATGCTGTTCTCTTACAAACTCCACATATATATATANCAAAAATACTGGGAATAAAAAGCTTTTTTAAAAAATTTTCTTCTTCAATAAAGTGCTTTTTTTTAACGAATAAAATAAGTTTATAAATTAGAAAAGTTTGTATTTCAACTGTTCATAAACAGTTTTTCGACCGATCATAGATCGTATTTGCAGTTACTCTATCTACTTAATGAATTTATGCGAACAATTTATTTTTAATGAGCTTAGATTTTTATTTTGTGTTAAGTTTTAGGGTTTTCGCTGGTGGATTGTTTAGAGACAATCCTTTTTTAAATTCTATCACTGTGAAATTATATCTAGACCAGTGGTTCCAAATCCCATCTTTTTTTAATTATTTTAGACCACAAATTTGTAAAAAAAGGAAAAAAAAACTTGCAAGGCTCACTGACTACTAAATGTACTTGTAAAAAATATGATGATAAATGAACATCTATTATGTATGTATAACAAATGAATGCATAAATACAGTCTATGTGGCCAAATTATTAGACGCACTTTAAGATTCTATGTAAAATCTTAATTATCAGTTGATAGTCTATACAGCTTTATTGTTTTTACACCACTGTTTGAACTACTTTACGTTAGTGTATCAATTAGTTAAATTAGACGATAGGATGAATTAAACAATATATTATATAAATATGGTGTAGAATATTTATTACATCAAGCATTATATTAGTATATTATAATAATTATACCAAATTATCAGACGCACTGTAGTTTTTTAATAATTGCTTTACAATATTAACCAATTGATAAACAAACGTAAACAAGTGCAAACCGGTTTCAGTTGTATAGTATTACCTGATAATTAAGATTTTGCATAGAATATCATTGTGTGTCTAATAATTTGGCTAGGGAGTGTATTTAACATTCGAGAGGAAGTGTTGACCTTGATGTTCGACTGAAAAAAACAGATGGTGTGTCTTCCTTATTAACTGTAGGCCAACAATGGAGTCAATAGTGGCTAAAGCTTTTGGGTGACACCGCGTCTCACTAGCGCTAGTGAATCATACCAAGAAACTGAATTTAGACACCAAGATTTATCTTAGACTCTTGGCCTGTATTCACGGCCCAGTTCCACGTAACTCACCAGCTGATAATTGCTGGTTTAAATATATAATTACGCATTCATATATAGTTGTAAATATCAGAGTTTTTATATATATATAGATAGATACGTATAAAACGTGCTTTTAGAAATATAAATTAATTTTTTTTTTGTTCACGTGGTTGAGATCTATTGAAGAATTTGTATAGTTATTTGAATTGAATTGTAAACAAGGATTTGAAAAGGGCTTTAATCTGAAAATTGAAAAAGGAATTCTGTGTAATTAAAAAGAAAATATTTTGTGCATTATATTTAGTTATGATGGTGTATTAGAAAATCAAAAAGAAAAAAAAAGGTAGCTGAAAACTTAAAATTCAAACTTAAAATTTAAGTATTATGTTTATGAAATTTCTTAAAAAGAATTTATATTTATTCTAAATTCTTGTGTGAAATTTTGTAATAAATTGTTTTGGGTTTATGTAATAAAATTGGAATTATTCAATTTTTAATCTAAGTTTTTAAATAAATGTTGAGTATTTGAAAATCAAAATGGATACTGGCTGCCAACTGCTATGTTTTTTATAAAATATTATATAAAGTGGTAGGAAATTAAAAATTTCTGGTAATTTTGCCAACCTTGTAAAGTTCTTACCACGAGAAAGGTGAAAGTTGAAGTAGCGTTTCATATCAGCTTTTCAATCATTTACCAAAACAATACATTGAAACATTAGCTTAGCTACCAGTTGAAGAAATTTTTGCCAAAAGCTTAGAAAGTTGGCAACCCTGTTGGCAGAATTGAAGTGAAATAATCTGAGAAAATTATTCCTATTCCTAATTTTATAAATAATGTTTCAAAAATTTGGAGAATTAACACTAAACATAACATACCTGGTCAAGTGACCGTTTAAAAACTTTTGCATCAAAAATTTGTTTATCTTACCGTTTTTGCACCGTTAATAATTATATACGGTTAATATTCTATTATTATTTTTTTGTATTTTCATTGTTTCAAATAATACTTGTCGTAATATAATACCTATTTCTACCACAACCGGTCCTTTGACAGGGGTAACAATTTTATTGCTTTATAAGGTTATCGGATCAGAAATTACGATGTAATGCGCGTTCAATGTATTGCGTTCGGTGAGTTGCACATTTCTACTAAGACTGTTGCATATTAATTCAATCAGAATAACTGTGAATTCAAATTTCAAGAAAGTACCTAAAATTTTAGATTTTGACATTTTTGTGAAAGAAAAAGTGGCAAAAACTGTTTTCGTAAGTAGCTTATATTTTATTTTGATAGCTATATTTCATTTCGAACTAATTGTTAGTTTTTACAAAGAAAAATGTCAAAACAATCAAGACAGCACAAGTTCTTATAAGAAATAATATTAATTATAAGAATTATAATTCTTATAATTATAAGAATAATAATAAGAATTATAGAAATAATAATAATTACAAGAAATATGTCTGTGGAAAATGTACAATGGAAACACTTTGTATATGTAAAAAATGAGTTTAATAATGAATTAAAAAATTTTATTCTTCGTGTTTGTAATACATAAAAATTGCCAATATACAATTTTATTTAATCATAATAAAGTTTTTTTTAGTTTATTTCTTTCCTAACATCCATATTTTATACATTCAATCAAGAAACATACAGTCATTTGACCGGCTATGGTAGAAATAGGTATAGATTAAGTGATAGTATGCTTAGAGTTAATGAACTTATTCTGCAAAATTAAATGATGTAATACCAGTTTTACTCATAAAATTATGGAATATAAAACTTAAATTTACTATTTATATAGGATCATTAAATTTAATAGAATAAAGTTTTTGAAC